TGTGTGTGTGTGTGTGTGTGTGAATCATTGTGTCAAATACGAATAAAAATTGATATGAACTTGGACTGTATAACATTTATGAACACAATATGAATATAATAAGAATAGTCGTTACACGAAAATAAATAAATAAATAAAACAAGTATGAACACAATATGAACAGTTTGTGAACAATAGTTCCTTCATTATGAACACATTCAGGAGCAAGCCAATGTTGAGATATGCAGCTAGTGTACATATGAACACAATATGAACAGTTTGTGAACAATAGTTACTTCATTATGAACATATTCAGGAGCAAACCAATGTTGAGATATGTTGTTAGTGTACATATGAACACAATATGAACACTTATGAACAATTCTTTAACAATTACATATGAATTCGAATTCCGATTGTAGTCGTAGACGATTTTAACCTTTTCATGTTCATTGTTGTCGATCTGTTTTCCAATAGGTTTATCTATATTACTCGGACGATATCGAAATCTTCACAATCGGAAATTCTTTAATAGTTACAAAATCAATATCATTATGAATAGAATAAATCGAAATTACAAAACATGAACACGTATAAAAAATATCAATATTATATAATCATCAATTATGGAGATTTTTAGATTTGTAACTCCCAATTAATGATTTGGGAGTTACATAAATGACAAATTACTTAATTATCCTTGTTATTAATATATGAGTTATATGTAAACCTAAAGAAAAGATGGAATATGATTGGTTGAGCTTGGTTAACAAAGTTAACACAAAAATCTTGGTTAGTATTTGAACCAAGCTCTATATATGTATATATTTGTACAAACCATGCAAAACACACTTATCCGTCGATTTCATTATTTAATCTTATGAAAAAATTTCATATAATATTTTTTTTATGAATTTGTTTCATATATGGTTATAAAATTGTTTCATATATGATTATGAAACTGTTTCATATTAATACTTATGAAATTTCAATAAAACTGTTTCATGTATTTCTCTAAAATTAATATAATTAAGAAACTAATATACATGATTAACACTCTCCACAATAAAAATGATTAATCAACCTCTTATAATTACAAAAAAACGAACAAAATAAAAAATTATGATTAACTGAATAAGGTTTGTACGATTTGTATAAATAACGTGGTTTGCAAAGAGGTGAGATATTATGCAACCTTTATAATCAAATCATAAACGTCCATTTGATCAATGGTTACCTTTGATCAGTTGTAACTACCCTTAATTAAAAAAACGAAAAAGAAAATAAAAGAACGGATGGTGGATAGATTTGTTGCATCGGTTGTATAATCTAGAAGGGTTGTATCTGAACGGCATTATATATAGATGTGGGTTATTATGCAACGCTTTACATTCCTACAACCCTTACAACCAAATCAGGAGCGTCCGTTCGTTAATCAACGGTTACCATTTGATCGGCTGTAACTACCATTAATTAAAAAAAATGGTGGATAGGTGTGTCGTATCGGTTGTATAATATAGACGGGTTGTATTGAACAACCCTATACACACACACATACACACACACACACATATATATATATACATATATACATATATAATCATGATCGTAAATTAACTTAACTGAAACCAATATCGAATCTAAACAAAATCTGTTTGTGGCGTCTTTAAAGAAAAATACAAGAGACCGTCAAGTATCTTCCCGAAGGAAAATTTGCTTGAAATACCCGAAAATTTGTACTTTCTTTAAAAAGGGTTTTACACCCGAATGCGATCTTTCAGTGAAATTCGCTACAACTCATTTTAAATTATTGTATCACTATTTTACGATACATTGAAAAATACAAATTTATAGCATAACTGCAATACAACCACATTCATCATATGCACATAAACATTAGATCGGGACACGACATGACTGAAATGACAAAAATGCATTTTCTTTGTCCACCAAAACAGGTAGAATAAATATCAGCGAAAAAAGACAAATTGGTAAATTACTAATTTACCCATATCTAATTAAAACCCGGAAATCTTCGACACTTTTTCACATGTCTACCTCACTCTCGTCATGTAAAAGTTCCATTCGGTCGAGTTCTGTCGTGTTCTTTCTGGTCTCGTCCGCATACCAAAATGCACCGTTACGCAACAAAAGAGTACCAGCTCTTGATATTAAAACCATAAAATCTTCCACGTTTTTCCAATTCAATCATGTCCAGTTCCTTCCGGTCCAATTACATCCAGTCATGTCTGGTCTCTCGTCTACGTACCAAACGCAATCTTACAGGTAAAAAAACAAAAGAAGACAACTACTGATATCCGTTGAGGGGATATCGCAATTAGTTGCAAGTTCGGGGACTAATCGGTAAATATGGAAAAGCAAAGGGATAAGACACAGGTGGTTTTGGAAGCAATAGTTGAATTAAGACAGATAAATTGGCAGTGCAGGACCAGACACCTGCATCTGAATTGTTGCTTTTTTTAGTACAAATTTTTAGATTCTCAAATTTAAATAAATATAATATTTAATTTAAAATAGGACCACAATAAATACAGATTGCTTTTTTAAATGATAAGTGTCCGGGTCAATTTGTACACAGTTAGATTAATTTCATGGGTCTTGAAAAACAGTCAGTAAAATTCTTAGGGTGCGTTTGGTATACTGGATAGGGACATGACAGAACATGACAGAGATCCATTTCTCATGTTTAGCATGAATTTTATGTGGAACAGAGTGGAACAAAAGTGGAACAGGCATGTTCCACCCTGTTCCATGACAAGGTAGAACAGACTTATATTTTACCAATATAACATTAAAATAAAATTTAATTTTGTTCTAAAATATCAAATAGGTTTTTTTTTTACATTTTATTCATTCTTTAAATTTTATTTATTGTATTTTATGTTTCTTAAACTTTCATTTTATTGTTCTCAAAATATTATTTTTATATGGTTTCTATATTTTTATTAATTTATGTAATTTTATTATATATTAATAATAAAAAATAATGTAGAAAAGAGATAAAATAGAAATAGGAAACTATATAAACTTTTTATTTGGTATCATTTTAATTGTTTTGACGAAAACTTGAAATGATATATTTTGTTATAAAAAAACAATCATTCTATTATAATTTAATAAATTATATAAATTAACTAAAATAAACAACTCATCAGGGGTAAATTGGTCATTTTACTTGTTATGTTCTGTCCAGTTTTATCTTACCAAACGTTGAACAGTTGTTCTATCATGTCATGTTCTGTCCTGACACCAAGCACACCCTTAATGATTTGAAGGGACTCAAACTGATGACTTATAGGAAGGAGCCCAATTAAGACGCAAGTCTAATTGCCATTGATTGATCTGATGGTATTAAGCTAAACTCGAGCTTAATTCGATAATTCAACAAGTCTTTTTGATACATGCACGAGTCTGATTTGAGAAAGATTGAAACTGTATATTTGAAAGTTAGAATAGCTCGAAAATACTGAGTTTGAGAATTCGATTTATAATAATATCTTTGACAAAAATTTATATCAGTAAGATTAATAATTAACAAACATTAATAAAACAAGGTTAAAATGGTAAACTGATAATAAGCAGTTTTTCACAAGTCATGAAGGATTAACTTATCAAAAACTACTTATTACCGGTTTGGCACCGGTATAAGCAGTTTTATTTTTCTCATCCAAACACTCGCATTTAACTTATCACCGGTGCCAGACTGAAATAAGTCAAAAAACACCTAAAATAAGCAATCCCAAACACCCCCGTAGTACAATAGCTGATAGAAGACTATGAGTACAATATAATGGTGTGTTTTTGTTTTATGTGCTTTTCGTACGATTAAGTGGCATTACGTGTTTAGCAGTGATTGCAAAGAAATTAGGTGATCGTTGTCTTTTCGTATTTGTTTTCTAACGACTTCAACGTGACCGTTTGAATTTTGTGTTTCTAAAGCAAAAGTACGATAGTGAACAAGACGGAAAAGCAAAAGGTGAAAACACTTGGATTTTTGGACACTTTATGTTTGTACCAAGATCGAGGAGCATCTCGACAACAAGAATAACATCGAGGTTGTATCAAAATTTAACGCTTGTCCTACGACTTATATGATATGTGGGCCATGAGTTAGTCGTTAGTACATGTTTGCCGCCTCTTATCGGGAAAGAGACGCTTACTCAATCAGATATGTTATTGTTTACTAAGACTCTCTTACCAGTATCTGGTGCTGACCCAATAAGCAGTAACGTAGGGACACTTATTCAGTAAATGGTTACTGCTGATCCAAACTACACTCATATTCAGTTAATATTTATCTTATTTGTTTTGATAAACGACCCCTTAGTGTATCTGTTTTTTACACCCGATCAAAAACAAGAAAATACTATATGTTTTTTATTTCGTATTTGGAATTTGGATCATATAAGGAGCCCATTGGGCTTTTTTAAATCTAATGGAGACATGCATACCCATTCTGGCCCATGAACACGTCTTATTTGGGCTTCTAAATTATTGGCCCGGCCCATTTAAAATTTCATGTAATTTGAAAAATATTTGTTAGAATAATTATATTATATAAAGATGGTCAAATTAGGTCCGGTCCGCAGAGAGTTATGGCTCAAGGTCCGGAACTGGTTATACATTTTATGAAATTTCAAGGCCTAACTCGAGGACCGTTATTTAACGTATATGACCGATTTTTCAAAAACAAAATCTTAAAAAAAGATTTGTGGTCGGCACCGGCCGACCCAGTTTTGAAGGGACCGATTAGAAAACGTGACTGATTTTTGGGCATCTCTAATATTATCCATGGGATATAACAGGTGCGGTTTTAATTAAATTCATGACCTTCTGATGAGTATAAAACCAGAATGAAACCATTTTTCTTTTAACATGTCAAGAAGCCTTTGGTACGTTTTCGACCATGTGTTTTAATACGTTTTCGACCACTGATGATTTTCCCATCAGTAAAAAGGTTGAAAACGTAGAACTATACAAACCATCATCAAAACGAGCCAGGCAAAACGACAGTAGTATCATATTTCATATAAACATGAAAACAAAAGATTCAATACGCATAAATTTAAAGACGCTATGAACACCAATGAAGACCCTTCTTGTTGCGTTTTCTGAAGAAACCCGACAAAGATTCCGAATCTAACACGATGTTTTATTGCAATGTACCCAAAAAAATCCGAGCTACGAGAGCCTCAGAACACCAGTCTTCCTCGAACGTTCGCCAATTGATCCTCGTTTGTTCATGAAAACTTGATTCTTTACGGCAAGATTATTTCCTTTTTTCTTGCCGTTTCTGTCGAAAAGTTACACAAGAATTTAACTCGACTCATAAACCAAAAGGGCGATCCAAATGCGATGTCAATGGACTTAAAACGAGAATTCTAAACATACCCCGGTTCCCTTTGTCGAAAAAGAAGAACAAGCACTCCAAATCCGATCACGAGTGCTATTTTTATCGCCTGAAGATAAATTTCTAGTTTAGGAATGGAACACATTTCTTGATCTTCTGATATAGCTTTCAAATTCTTATCAATAAAAGGGTGTTCATCTTACATATAGTAATATTAATACTGCTATAAAATTGGCTTTATAGGACGCCAAATATATTCAAATGTACTGATAGACTACTTAATAGTTCCATTAAGAGGCAACCTCTGAATCGTTAAGAGGTGAATCTTATTTGGTAGAAAAAAAGTTTGCCTCTAAATGATTTTGTATCATGGATCTACCTTAACCATTAAGAGCCCTAATTTCATTGTACACAATTACCAAACAATTATATTTCATTTTGCAATATATTATGAGAGCTTCTTAATCATTCTGACCACTTAATCATTCTGCACCAAACCATTTAGCAGTTGCCAAACATATGACTTAAGTTTATAGGATGTCTTGTAAAAGTGTTGCAACAAGTTGAGAAGACACCCAAAAATGACCCTTTCTTTAGGACATTTGTTTTTATAAGATATGTTCTCAGATAAGGCAATGTAAAAAGACTAATAGAACATGATACTTCAAAAGTGTCTCGAAAAACTTGTTAGGACGCCCAAAAACGTCCTATCAACTGATCATGACGCTTTTACATATATGACGTACAATTAGTTGGTCCTATAAACTCAAGTCTTATAAAGCATTATATTGACATTTAAACATAGTTGGGGAGAATTGGCTGAAATAGCCAAACCCATCAACCATTTTAGCCACTTTTCAGAGGCTCTTCCAAAAGATCCGGTCTTTAGGCAGATGCTTTACGCATTTGCGTAAAGACTAACTTCTGGAAGAAAAAAAAATCCTTAGCGCAAAAATTTGAATCTTTACGCAAAAAAAAAATCTTTTTCTTCTTTTTTTAATCTGAAAATCGAGTTTATGCAAATGCACAAGACATTTGTGAAAACTGTGGCTAAAATAGGAATTCAATTGAAAAAGTGGCTAAAAAGTGAAGTTGGTTGGGGAGATCGGCTATTGGTCAATTTCCTCATATTTTCCGTCCAGTAAAGTTGATTTTATATGGCGTGCTTCAAGCAAGTGAGTAGATGAAAATGTCAAACCTGTCCAAGTGATCCGGTAGAATCCTCTTCATCTGAGCTCTTCGGACTCGAGTTCCCTGAAATTCGAGCCATCGCTTCATCCTGTTTCACAATACCGTCACTTCCACGATGCACTTCAATCTGAAATGTGTTTGTTCAGCCATAAAAATCAAGAAAAGGGTACAAACTTTTTCCATGTCTAAAGAGAGCTGTAAAATGAAGTCACTTACTTGCCCAATGCTATCTGGTATAGAAGCAATAGTGTTTTCTTGATGAGCTTTCTCGGCTGTCATACAAAAATGTCTTTCTTCATCTGGGAATATCCATGGACCAGAACCATCATGGTAAATATAGTCAAGATTGTCTTTTGAAGTCTTTTTACCGTCAATAGTACCATCTTTAACCTTATTTGAAAGAGTTTCCGCTTGTTTATCATCTTCATGCATTCTTCCTGAAACTGTCGCATCTTCTTGACGGGATTTCAGTATCTCAATCGTGTTAGTTTCTGTTAGAGCAGACTTCTCTTCATTATTTACGCCTTCTTTAGGTGATCTCCGTATCTCCTTTGTGTTGGTTTCTGTGAACGTAACCTTCTCTTCATTACTTACGCCTTTTTCAGAAGATTCTTCCATCTTCTTTGTGCTAGTTTCTCTGAAAGCAACCTTCTTTTCATTATTTACACCTTTTTCAGATGATTCTTGTGTCTCCTTTGGATCGTCTGAAATAAGCGTATCCCCTTCACTTCCAATCATTCCTTTCGATTGCATATTTGTTTCAGTTGGTTCTACCATATTTTCGTTGAAACCAGCTTGCTCTCCTTTTGTTGTGATACCAGAAAGGTTTCTCCGCAAATCACCTGTACTAAAGGAGTTTCTGAGCCTAGTTGAACTCGACATTTCTGAGGTATTAACCGCATGATCCTTCAATAAACGTACAGTTCCAACTCGATATGCTTTTGTACCCACAGGCTTAAGAGGAACTCTATCCTGAAATCAACGTATAGAAATTTACAAATAAATAAATTAGGAAATTGACTGAAATAGCGAATCCCATCAAGGGGTTTCACTTTTTAGCCACTTTCTACCTCATTTCGACTTTTAGCCATTTCTTACGCATATGCGTAAGAAATGGCTAAAAGTCGAAATGGGGTACAAAAGTGGCTAAAAAGTGAAACCCCTTGATGGAATTGGCTATTTCAATCAATTTCCCTAAATGTGGATACAACGTTGGAGTACAATGTAATGTGTGTGTATATAGGCGGAAATGGAGGTACAAAAGTGGCTAAAAAGCAAAACTTAAAGCATATGCATAAAAAATGGCTAAAAATCGAAATGAGGTACAAAAGTGGCTAAAAAGTGAAACCCCTTGATGGGATTGGCTATTTCAGTCGATTTCCCTATTCGCAATAGAATTAGTATGCGCACCTGAGATATACTACTTTCAAAGACGCTAATCATCTTCTTTATATTACGTGGAGTTTTCTCTGGTGTGCCCTGCTTATCTGGTTCTTCGCCTGCTAGCTTAGGGGAAAATGATTTTATCTTTTCCGCAATAACCGAGCTTGACAAACGCACATCAGGAGAAGATCCATCTAGCAATCTTTTGGGTGCATCGGTTTGTTGTAATTGAATCTCATCGTTCTTGATTGTATTCACTTTGGTTTCTTGTGATGAATGAGGAGGTTTGCTCTCTTTGCTTGTTTTCTTTACATAGATGACGCTCGTTTCTTCAAGATTCCGTTTATCTAACTTCTCGGCCACATTATCCGACGGTTTTGATTTGGCTGCATGAATCTCGTTGTTCTTATCTGAATTTACTTCAGGTTCTTGCAATAAAGGAGTAGGCGCCCTCTCTTTGGCTTTTTTATTAATATAGCTAGGGATTTTCTCTTCAAGATTCTGCTCCTCTAACTTCTCAATCATACTACTTGGTATTACGGTTTCGTTCTTCTTTGCCAAATCTGTTTGTGAAGCAAGACTCTCGGCATCCTCTAACAATATTTTTTGATGCATCCCTTCTGTCACAAGAGAGAATGAAGCTTCTTCCATTCTATCTGTAGCATTCTAAAACAAGGGGATTGGCTGTTAAATAGTTGTCTTCAATCCCAACAAAGTCGTTTTCTTTTACAAAACGCTAAATACGTCTAAGGGCCTGTTTGTTAACAGCTTAATAGGACACGCAGCTTATTCGGGCAGCTATACATGACTCTTTGGTAGTAGCGATATAGAAAGTGGCTTATTAGATAAGCTTCTAGAGGGAGCTTTATGCAGAAAGCCAAATTTCTTCCAAACCTTCCCATCCCCATCTAAAAACACTCTCCTTCCATCTATGAAAAACCCTCCCAAACAAAAACTCTTTCAATCTATAGACAGATTAATCAACATAGTCGGCTTTATTCATACAGGACTTAATGGAAAACCAACCAAACAGCTGCTAAATGTCCTAATACATTGCCATATAGGACATAAGTTTATAGGATCAAACAACTATATGTCCTACGTAAAGGTGTTACAACTTACAATAAGTAGATAAAAAACTTTTGGGCGTCATAACAAGTTTTTTAGGACAAATTTAAAATAAAGCGTCGTATTAGTCTTTTTATATGACATTATTTTAAAAAATGTCTTGTAAAATTAAATGTCCTATAAAAAGATGTGGTTATAGGAACATTTCTTTAAGTTCTATAATAAAGGTAATAGGACAATATGTTTCAAAAATGTCATAAAAAACTTGTTAGGATACTCAAATACATCTTATTGTAACACTTTTACATAGGACGTACAATTGTTTGGTCATATAAACTTAAGTTCGATAAAACAGTCTATTTGGACATTTAGGGCCTATTTGTTAGCAGCTTAATGAGACTCACAGCTTATATGGTCAACTATATATGATTGTTGGGTAGTGGCGATATAGAAAGTGGCTTATTCATTAAGCTTCAAGGGGGGAGCTATATGCAAAAAAAATCTGAACTTGCCCCTCCCAATTAAAAAACACGCTCCTTCCCTCAATGAAAAAACCTTTCCTATCTATATAGACATATTAATCCACACAGACAGCTTTATCCATACAGAGTTCAGTAGAAAACCAACCAAACAGCCCCTTAAGACATATTTGACATCCTATAAAGCCGATTTTGTTGTAGTGATCCAAATCTATGTTCTAAAAGAGCAGAAGGCCGTATACCGCCAGCATTTCCTAGATACATCATTAAAAACCCAACGATTTGTGAATACGCGCATGCATTATCGGAATATATAACTACCATGAGGCTCGTTGTACGGGAAGTAAAACCAAGAGAGTTAATTTTAATCCTTAACTGTGAACGATTGCCTCTGAAAAGATTCTTCTTTTATCCCATCATTAGCTTCTGAAGCTTTCTTGAATGTGTCATCAAGAGGGGTCAAGAAACCAGCTTTCGCAGCATCACCATTGGAACTGCTTCTTTGGAAATCTTGAGAAGATGTAATCCTCAAAACATCTAGACAAAACCTTTCAGAAAAGTTCCGACGTAAGACCGAATTGACAATCAAACGAGTGTGCCCCCATTGAACTCATCTAGTCCTTTCATTTGTGCTTAAAGTGTTTCCGTGAAGACCCGCCGGCTTGTCACACTTTTCACAAGCCAAGAGTCTTCACAAAAACAACTATTCTACTGTTTGAGGTAGATGTCAGGTATGTATATATCCAACCCTCCCCAAACCCCACCTCCAAGTGGGATATAACGGATTCGTTTGGTTTGGTTTATTTGTGCTTAAGTGTTTCATTGAAGACCCCCCGCTTGTCACACTTTTCACAAGTTGTGGGTCTTCACGAAAACAGTTGCTCTACTTTTTGGGGTAGAGGTCAAGTATGCATACATCTTACTCTCCCCAGACCCCACCTCCAGGTGGGATATAATGGGTTCGTTCTTTTTGTTTAATTTGTGCTCAAGTGTTTCCATGAAGACCCCCGACTTGTCACATTTTTCACAAGTTGTGGGTATTCACAGAAACAACTGTTATACTCTTTGGGGCAGAGGTCAGGTATGCATACATCTTAACCTCCCCTGACCCCACCTCCACCTCCAGGTGGGATGTACCAGGTTCGTTTGGTTTGGTTTGGTTAATTTGTGCTCAAGTGTATCATTAAACACTGCAAGATCAAACCTGAGACCTCATGTCTGCTCATCGATGATGCAAGAGATTTGGCACTTTCTGCATTTCTTAGCCTACTATTGAGAATCTCATCTTGCTTCTTCTTCATAGCATATTCTCTCTACAAATAAAGAAATAATGTAACTTCCAAACAACAAAACAATCATCTTTGCAAAATGTTAAGGATTGTGTGCAAAGACTTCCCTTCCCAAATCCCAACCATGGTAAAGAAACATGTGAGCTAAGTTTGGTACGCAGAGGGGACTGGACAGGCGAGAGTGAAGTAGGCTGGTGAAAGATTTCAGGGTCTTAATTTGACACGGGTAGTTCAGTAATTTACCACTGTTCCACCTGTTTTTTAGTGGGTGAATTCTATTGATACCCCCTCCTATGGGGGTTAAGAACCAGGTGTATTGAGTGAGGGGGTTATGAATAGCAACTCCTTTTAGTGGGACAGAAAAAGTGCATTTTTGTCTCACTCAGTCATGTCATGTCTTGTCCCAATCTAATGTCGTGTCAAACGTGGGACAACAGGTTTTTATACTGTCATGTTCTGTGTACCAAAGAAATGCAAAAAGGAACAAAGAGAGTATACCATTGAACGAATCCTGTTGCGCTCCTCGTCACTGAGAATGAACTGCAACTTCATATGTATAACCCCACCTCCTTCTATGGGGAATAAATCATCCCATATCCCCTTTTCAATTATCGAAATCGTTCGAACACCTATTCAAATTCACATGATGAAATCATCTTATTAGAACCAAATCGACCTAATTCCACACAAAATGAGATGAATCCCAGTTTCCTAATTCTTAAGTTTGATAATATGATCAACCTGAACGCGATACTTGATTTCCCTCCAAATCCAGAATCGTGATGATCAAATTATCGCGCAGATTCGTCAATGGGCTGTGCTAAAATCAATATCTCGAATCAATGTTCAGAAAACAAAATCGAAAATTCAGAGTTTAACAGTTCGGAATCTTACAAAGAGAAAGTCCCCTTTTCCCCAGCTTCATGCTCAACTTTCCCCAATGAAACTACAATCAAAATCGAAGCAAAATCAACTCCAAATCGTGTAGCAAATTGCCACAAAGAAAGACGATTAACAGAATGCAACATACCCTTGACGAAATTCGACGAAGATGGAAGCTCCTTGAAATCCAGAACTACGAAATCAAACAACCACAAAAGGAGAATTAATTGAAGAGACCGTAAATTAAGGTTGAATTGAGGGAAGAACAAGAACCTGAAACTTGAATGGATCCTGGCATTGGAGAGCAAAGAGGATGAATCCAAGTGATTACTGATTTGGGTGTTTGGTAATACATGAAAATCTACCAAAATTTCGGATGGAATAAGTGTGTTTGTGATTGATTTGTGTGTATGTGGAGGGTGGGGTAGAGTGACCTTCAAACTAATTTTGTCAACCACATATGATATGAACAAAAAACCCCAAAATTTGTCTTACTACAAGAAATCAAGATAACATAAACCCTACAAAAATCTTTCAAGAAAAGGGCAAAAGGTTTGATCTTTTGAGTTTGGTTTCATGGTATATGGAGAAATTGTGGAAAAAGTTAGATTCTTGAAGGTGTTATAATAATGATTCTTGTAAGTTTGGTTTGTAGGGTTGTTTTTTAAGGATTTGGATTGAAATAGATTTGAAATCGTTGGTAAGGTTATATACATAAACGACCTTTCTTGCAATAATGATCGTTTTATGCTACCATTCTCAGAGACAACTACACTTGATGGACGAAAATAACCACAAGGGTGGTGCCTGATTGGTTTGAGCTTGGCTCCAAAGATCAAAAATATCAGGGGGTCTCAGATTCAAATCCAATAGGAAATAAAAATCTCTTTGTAGCCACAGAGATTCAAATTGAGTGACTCTCGGCTCGTATAACGAGTTGGATATCCAGGTTAATCAAAAAAAAAAACTTGATAACTATGGACAAGAAAATCGTTGTTTGTAAACTGTCTAAACAAAGCAAAGGTTGCGTCCATGATTACGCACAAGTTTAGAATGAGTTCATTATATTATAGAGAACCAAACAGTTTCTTTTATTTTCATTCTCATTGATTACTGCTTAATACATCTGATCAAACAGTTTCTAACAATTTGTTTCGTTCCCTACTAATGTGGGACAGATGATTTTCCATACTCAAACATTCACTTTGAAAGCAACACTTCTAAGATCAGTTTCTTATTCACTCACTCTTCATTTTAGGTACGTGATATATCAAAACGAATCTCTCTCACAGGACTACGTAAACCCACAAGTGGTCAGAATGATTAAGAGACTCTCATGATATAATGTAAAATGAAATATAATTGTTTGGTAATTTTGTACAATGAAATTAGGGTTCTTAATGATTAAGTGAGATCCATGATACAAAATCATTCAGAGGGTTTTAGAACCATTAAGAGGCAGCCTTTTTTTTCCAAACAAGATTCACTTCTTAACGATTCAGAGATTGTTTCTTAATGTAACTATTAAGAGATAAACAAACAACCCCTAACTCTAGCTATTTTCAAATATCTTTGTAAATTTACCAATTTGACCTTAAAGTTCTCTACTTTTCAAATGTTTCAAACTGTTTTTGTTGAACTTTCGAAAGCACTCGAGAATTTCCCTAAACCTTTTCTACGTGAAGAGTTTTCATGAAAACGATATTTGTACTCTTTCAAACAGTGAACACCCCGAGACCCTACACCAAGTGACAGAAAAGGTGTGATGAAGACGATGGCTACGTATGCCACTTATCATTTACCTGTTAATTTAAGAAAAAAAACGATAGGAAAAAATTAAAATAATTTTAATAAGAATAGGACTCAAAAATTCAATCACTTCAGTGACTTGTCATATAATTTATTTGTAGCAAATTATTTTTCGTAATTCTTTGTCGAAAAACTTGATAAAAGTATGTGTAATGCATGAATTTTTGAACAATCCATCTTCCGACTAAAATCAGGAAGCATCTCTTAACCGAATTAAATAGGCCAATTGAATAAAAGCACCCCGCCCCCCATGGCAAAATGGGCCCGGCCCAGGACCGGCTCGGGCCTAGACCGATTGAGACCGGTTATGGTTTCCATCCAAAAATAGGTCTGGCCTAGGACCGGCCCCGACTTTTTTAAAAAAAAATATGTATTTTTAGATGTATTTCTAGCTTTCTAAGTGTATTTTATTGAAAATCAAATTACAAATTTACAATAAAACATATTTTTTTAAGTGTATTTGATTGACCTAATTAGACATTTTGAAGTATATTAGAATAATATTTTTAAAATTTTATCAAAAAGAAATTTTATATATATATATATATATATATGTGTGTGTGTGTGTGTGTGTGTGTGTGAGAAAATGTTTTATTAATATAGGACCGGTTTGGGTCCGGCCCAGGCACAAGACCGATTACAAATACCCTTAATCGGGTCTCAGTATTTTCAACAAAACCAGTAACCGGTTTCAGTCTAAATTTTTACTATTTGGAACCGGACCAATTTAGACCCGGACCGACTTATCCTGGGACTGATTTTTGACCACCTCTAATTGCATTTACAAATAAACTATTCAACATGATGTTGGTTTTGTGTACGTTTATGAAGCTTATTGGGCCTAGGGCTAAGGTGGTTAATATTGAATGGTGAGGGGGGGCTCTGAGCTATACATATAAGATTTAATAATCATTTGAAATAACTAGTGAATTACAACTCTATTATAATGGAATTGATGCTTGAAGCCCATTGGGCTCTTTGTTACTCTATGAGTCTATGGCTTGGCAAACGCATTGTGGCCCATTGGCCATGTTCAAACTCCAAATATTTTTTTTAAATGGACTATTAAATCAATAATACTTAAACATATCGGGCAACCTCTGAAGTCTGACTACAGTAAAGATGGTCAAATTGGGCCTGGCCAGATTACGGAGTATGGGACCGTAGTGATGGTCAAACTGGCTCGGGACCGGCCAAGGACCAGTTATAAGACCGAAATCTGGGACCGGTTATGAATTTGGGGTGTTTCGCGGGACCAGGACCGATTATGGACCGACCCGACCCGGCCCGGCCTGGCCTGATTTAAAAAAAATATATAACTATTTTTAAAAAAATATAGCCGTTTTTTGGGGTTTTTTTGTATTTTTTGCTTTCTAAACACTACATATAAGTGTTTTGGTTGAGTGATTTACATACCAAGTTCTCGATTCGCAAAAAACGCAAAAAAACGGTCACAATTATCGGATTCTCGCTATATTTTGTAACACAATGTAATTTTGATTATAATGAAACGCATTTTTAAAGTGTATATGAGTGATCCAATTACCAATTTTATAATGTATTAAAAATATATATCATAAAAAATATTTTTTATTGACCGGGACCGGTGGCTCATAACCAGTTACAATAAAGTTTGACCGGGCTCAACTTTTTCGAGCGGGACCTGGACCAGGACCGGTTACGCCAAGACCGGTTATGGCCGGTTATGAGAAATCTTGGGACTGGTTGGGCCCCGCCGGCCCGACCCGGGACCCGTTTTTGGCCATCACTATTTGACCGTAAGGAATTTTAGTGAGTAGACCGGGACTAGAAATGGTTACATATAAATCAAAAAATTTATTGAGAGGACATGAATTCAAGTTTTGGATTTTAAAATCGAGAGAAATCAAGAATTCCCATTATTTCTTAGATTTCTAGACCCAGTTCAGTGAGATCTTTCATTCACATTTTTACAACTGATTTCTCAAACAAATTTTAAATTTTTATAAATTATAATACAAGTTTTTAAAAAAATTATAAGATTTTCAAACTTTGTTAAGTTTTCAGTATTTTATCTACTTATGTGTATTATTTAAAGGGTTTTTCAAAAAATGGGAATTATAAAAACATGTTTAACATTTTTTATGTAAGAAAAAGATTAAATATAAAAAATTCATAACCGACTAGGGTTGGGACCGGTTACTGGGCCTAGATCGGTCTTAGGATTTTCTTTTATCAGGACGAGACCAGTCAACTCGGTTTTGAAAACGTCGGTTTGGGACCGACATGGGCCCAAACCGATTTTTATCTCCATCTTGGACTCTAAGTACTATTAAATTTCAAAAGCAACCCCTCTTCCGGTTGTTTATTTCATACTTCTCAAAATAAATATCCATAGTGAAAAAAAAAATCACTTTTTTAAATATATATAATAATCATACTTTTTTAATTACTAAATAACAATTTTACTCTCTTTTTAGAAGATTTTACTATTAATAATAGAGGGAATATGTGGTTAAGTAATTATCTCGATTGCTTCTTAATGTAAAACATTGATCATAATAAATGAACTCTTATAATTTCCAATAAATATTTACATCATAATAAATGAACCAACATCGTTTCCGTAAATATATCAGTTAATTGGTTTGTAAAAGTAGTTAGGTTTCTAATATATATATATATATATATATATATATATATGTATAGGGGCCTATTCAAGGGAGAACCGAGTTGTTTGTGGTAACTGTGAGAACCAATATTAACCACAAATCAACGGATAAATAAGRAAATTAGTAATTATGGTAATTTGAGTTAAAATTATAATTAAAGGGCATTTTAGGTATTTTTAAAAAACTTCTCTCTCCGACCTCCGATCTCCGATCTCCGGCCTCCGGGGAACATTAATCCGGCAGGTACCAATGTATTACCAATTGGGGTACCAACATGTACCACAGAATTTTCACTCGTCTCCTCCTTTCCCAATCCATCTTCTCCGGCCACTCTGTGATACTCATTACCCAATGTATTACCAAGTGGGGTACCACCATATACCATAGAATTTTCACTCGTCTCCTCCTTTCCCAATCCATCTTCTCCGGCCGATACCCATTACCCAATGTATTACCAATTGGGATACCACCATGTACCACNGTCTCCTCCTTTCCCAATCCATCTTCTCCGGCCGATACCCATTACCCAATGTATTACCAATTGGGATACCACCATGTACCACAAAATTTTCACTCATCTCCTCCTTTCCCAATCCATCTTCTTCGGCCACCCTGTGATACCCATTACCCAATGTATTACCAATTTGGGTACCACCATGTACCACACAATTTTTACCCGTCTTCTCCTTTCTCAATCCATCTTCTCCGGCTACCCCTTCATTGTTGCAGCCATCATCTCCTTATCTCCCTTCTCCCTTTCACCTTCCGCAACACACGCACGCACCCCTGCACCACCATACGAACTAACACAAACACAGGGACGAGGAAATAGGCAAAGCACACCCGAACCTTCCCCTTTGTACCGCTTCTGTCATGTCTCGTCTCCGCC